GTTCCACTTCCCCTGGAGATATAGGGAAAAAAACAAGAACAAAACTAGTAAGAAAATAGAAAAAAACCCCGAGAGGTTGTGTGTTGTGCTTTTAATGTATGTTATATATTTTTTATAAAAATAAAATATATATAATATAATATATATTATAATTTAAAAAATCCCAGGTAGCAGGGGTAACAGCAACCCCCCAGGGGTACTACCGCCCCGCAAGTGGGGAAAAAAGAAACCTGTAATTGTTTTAATATGGTAGGGTTACGGGTCTTTTGCTGTCTCATAAACATGCAACATTTCAGTACGTCTTGCTACTTCTACTTTCAGTTAGGTTTCACTCACATACTGACAAGCAAATTTTTATACCCCCCTCTGGGTTTCTTTTATTTTCTTTCTAGTTTTTGTTTTTGTTTATTCCTCTTATTCCATGGGAAGTGGGAAAAGAATTCTTCCCCCTAAGCCCTGGTTTTTGTAAAGGCAAAAAGCCGGAGCAAGGGGGTAGTAAAATCTTCTTTTATATTACTAAAAGTAAAAGGAGAAACTTTTGTTTTTTCGGGCCCCCCCCCGTCGGTGGATACGGCCGGTGTGTTGAAAGATATATTATTAAAATATATATATATAAAATTTTTTTAAATATATATATATATATATATATATATATAAGACAAAACATTTACAAAAATACGGTAGAAATAAAAAAACATAGGTAACTCAGAGCACATCTCGAATACTTTTATCCACCCCCGGCGGGGGGCCCGTGGCCAAAGCTGCAGGCATTTTTCCCCTGGATCGCAAAACTGAGTCTCTAAAGAGGGAAGCTGGTCGCCTGTGGCCTTGGTTTCTATATGAGCCCCTTTTCCCCAGCTCTATTAGGGAAATTTAGGGGACACTTCCCCCTGCCCAAGGGTTTTCCCACCCCATTGGATGAAATTATAGCAAAGGGGAAGGTCTTCATATTTGGGATCCTGGGGTTTCCCTGTGGCTGGCAGCTCCCACCCCTTCCAACGGGGTATGGCAAGTAGGGTCTGCCAAAGTGGGGGAAGGGGTAATCCCAGGGAATCTGTTTTCCATCCTTCCAATCATGTGGCTCCATCAGACCTTTTGACTTCCCCAGACCTCTCACTTGGGTTCCCCTTGAGCTGGGGGAACGGGGTGGGAACTTCTCTTTTTTTATGTCATTGACCTCCCATGCCTGGGTACTTCCCTTTGCTTGTGACACACGAACCATAAGTCCGAATTGACCCTTTGCCCCGCCGCAAATCACCTATGTTCGGTGAGGATGGGGGCGGTAGCGAAGACAACACCAATCCGAAAGGCCCGTGGGTTAGTCGAGGCCCAAGGAGGTTGGGGAAAACTTGCAGGAAATCTCCTGATGTGGTGCCTTTACTGCCAGGAGACGAGCTTTGTCCCCTTTCCGAGGCGTTGGGGGACATTGTGTTGGGATTTTTTCCATGACGGTTTGTCCCAGGGGGACGTTTGTTTTCTTTGGGAGGAACTGTTACTGGAGGAATCGTAAGGGGGTTTCCCCCCGAATCGCTGGGTTCATAAACCTGGGGTCTTTAGCTCCTACCAGTCTCAAGCGTTCGGGAACAATCTTTTTTTTACTAATGCACTGAAACCAAAAACGAAACGAAAAAGGTTGCTTTGCGCAACCCCATACCCCCAGTCCACTGGGAGGGTTGCCCGATCCATTGAGATCCTCTAGTGCATTGGTTTTCCCCAAATTTTCAGTTGTTACCCCAATTTAACATGCCACATAAAGCTGTTACCCCTTTCACAAAATGTTTTTATTATTGATATATGGGTAAACGTGAACGTATACAGCCCCCCGTACTCTGCTAAACCACAAAACCATTGAAAACGTAAAAAACCCCACATACATTAAATTATAAAAAATTTAAAATAGCTACAAAATTTAAGTAACAGTGGTAAATACTAACTAAAAACTGACAGGGCAGACACATACATACCAGCTTATGTCACTCGGCTGAGCCCAAGATAAATGACAGGGGGGAAAAAAGAGGGAGCCTCAGGAAAGGGGTGACGCATACGGACAGGTCACTGGGGGGACTGAGTGACTTTTGTCCTAAGCATACTTGTCAAAAATACTTTTGGTTTCCCCACACTTTGCTAATATTTTTTCTTTTTTAATATGTTATTAGTTTTTGTGTTTATTTTTATTTGGTTTAACTTTATTACTTTTCTTATAATATTTACTTTCAAAATTTTTATACTAAGACAAAGTTAACAATAATCCTCATACCGGGTACCGCATTGTTTTCTTGATTTTCAGAATTCATAATTTTTTTTCTGTCACCCCTCCATTACCCCCCAAAAATGGTTAAATTACCCCCAGGGGGTAATTTACCCCCAGTTTGGGAACCACTGCTCTAGTGATAGGTTCAGTGTCTTCTTAAAGGTTGACCTCAGGTGTGCGTCATATTCGTCGAGTGTTGGGTTGTCAAAAGAGGGTGCACACCTCAGGAAGTGCGTCTTGGAATAGTAAAGCACCCTGTGAGGAGATATAGAGCATCATGGGCATCAAGATTGCTTATTCTCTCCTCCATTCTCATCAGGTCATTCAATTTGTCCTTGAGGACTGTGTCAATGGCCTGGTGACCCAGCGGTGCTCCCAAGAGGGTACTGTTGGACGGAGTGGTAGTAGAGACTTCTGGGAGGATTCTTCGCACAGCATTGATTATTTCCTGGTTCGCTGTGATGATTTCACACTTGGAGGGATTGAGGATGAGTCCCAAGTCTTCTCCCTGTGTTTTCACCAGTTGTAAGTCCCCTACCAGGGACTCTTCAGTACCTTCCAGAGTGCCATCATCCAGGTACCAGATGTTGAGCTCGCTGCGTAGGCTGGAAGCTAGTTCTCTTACTGCCAAGCAGAAGAGAAGTGGAGCTAGTGGGTCACCCTGCTGAACACCTTCTGATGAGAGAATTTCATGTTCTCCAAACAAAAGAATTGAGGGTTTGCTGTAGCGGCTGGAAATGAAGGGAAAAAGACTGGGGAAGCGATCCCGAACAGCTGGCAAGACAGCATCTCTCTTTACCATATTAAAGGCATTTCTAAAATCAAGTTTGACTACGGCCTTGTCTTCTGGCAGGTCCCTGATGTAGGCCCTTGCCGCATGAGCTGCAGCTTCACTGCCTTGAGGGACCCCAAAGCCCAGTTGGTGTGGCTGGAGTAAACTGGCAGCTTCTAGGCGAATGTTTCTTACTGCTGCTTTGGCAACGAGACGGCGAAGAGTGTTTCCAACCTCAATGGGTCTGATTCCCCCATCCTTCTTCTTTAACGCACACAGTGAGGCTCCAAAAAAAGAAAGGTTTAATTTCTTCTGGGATTCGCCCAGCCAGGCAGTTGTTGACGAAAGTTGTTAACTCGGTGAGAAAAAGTGATGCAGATGCACCGAGTACTGGATTTACCATCTCCTTGAGGTGCTGAGGTCGAATTCCAGTGTAACCTCCTGCAGATCCTGCAGGAAATGACACAATCGCCTTATAGACTTCCAATTCAGGCGAAATTAATTGTTCAGTGATGGGGTCTTCCTCAGGGTTGTTGTTGATGGCTATGGTGTCCCTGGTTGGATGCTTGTCTCTTAGTGCTTGGGCTGTGGTCTCATCTTTGGGGCTACAGTGTCGTCACTTGTAATTATTCGGATTGCTCCCACTGTGTTACCTTCTTCAATTTTTTTGCTAACCTGTGCGCAAATTTTCTCGTTTTCAGTGGGACTTTTCTTGGGTCTACCTTTGTGATTCCTGCGATTTATGAGGCAGAGGGACACAATTATCCGTTTCTTGGGTAGTTGCGCACTGCCTTGATAACTGACGTGTGTTAGCAGTTTGCCTCGTCTCTCAGGAACTGCAAGACAGACATTGCCGAACAGGAGCAGATTGCGCCATGCTTGGATGGTGCTTCGGGCTTCTAAGTTGGTGGAACCTCCATTCACCTGCTTAAGAAGGTCTGTGAATTTCCCTGCTGCATATGGGCGAGCCGCTTTAGGGATGTGGGATAGGGTACTGTTAGCAGTGGATTTGAATGCCAACAGAAGGTTATCGCAAGTGAGGAGGTTGCCATTGGAATTGTCATCTGCCTGTGGAGGCTGTGGGCTGCTCTCTGCTGGGGGCATATGTGATCCTGTACACCCATTGTGTGCACGAATGCGACCATCCCTGTTGCGTGCTCGAAACTCTCCGAACACCTGACAAGTGCCTCGTATGTATATATATATATATATATATATATATATATATATATATATATATATATATTATCGTGCCGAATAGGTAAAACTTGCGATTTTGGCTTAAATAGCAACGCTCTTCTTGCCAAATAAGGCAAGCGAAAATTTGTGTATGCAATAATTTCGCAAAAATCATTCTGAATCTAACAAAAAAAATATATTTCACTGTGTTTTGTTTATTATTAAATTGCTGTAAATTTATATGAAATATATTTAGTTGGATTAGGCTAAATTAAATTTGGCTTGTTATAATAAGGTTAGGTATGTTTTCTAAGGTTCTTTTGGTACAAAAATATTAATTTTTACATTAACATAAATGAAAAAAATATATCTTTAAACGAATAAGACAAAATTTTTAGAAAACACTTAATTTTAAATGAGTTCTGCTAATTGACCAGTTTTACCTGTTCGGGAAGACACAACACACACACACACACCACACACACACACACAACACACACACACACACACACACACACAACAATATATATATATATATATATATATATATATATATATATATATATTTATAGGATGGGGTTCACCTCTGGTGTAAATTGTGGGACCCACAGCCTCGGAGAAGTGGATAAAAAGGCTTCAAGGAAGAATATTTGGATTTCTTCCTGAAGCCATTTGAATATTCCACTTCCCCTACCACCCCATCTTTTATATATATATATATATATATATATATATATATATATATATATATAAATGAAGTATATAATATTTTTTGTTGATTGTAACATTTATGTTCAGCTGGGTAACCATATCTACTGGACGGACTGGGACACCTTGACCATCGAGCGAGCTGACAAAACTTCTGGCAGTAACAGGAAGGTCATCAGGAGCGGTATAGAGGTGAGAGAGAGAGAGAGAGAGAGAGAGAGAGAGAGAGAGAGAGAGAGAGAGAGAGAGAGAGAGAGAGGCTCTCCAAGTCACTAAGTCAAGTCACTCCACCAGTGGAGTGACTTGACTTACTCGGGTACAAACTCTGCCAGAGACCAGTATGGGTAACTTAACTAAGGTGTAGTGCTGTTGTTGAAAGATCTTAATGTGACCTTAGAGTCTTATCTCGGATTTCTCATGGTGTTCTCAAGGTCCTGTAAGACCTTTCTTTCTCATCTATGTCTGTCTCTTACTCATGTCTTATGCTGTATGTGGCTTATGTCTCCCTCATGTTGTGTTAAATCATGTCTCCACCTGTTCTAAATCATGTCTCCACCTGTTCTAAATCATGTCTCCACCTGTTCTAAATCATGTCTCCTGTTCTACATCATGTCTCCTCCTGTTCTAAATCATGTCTCCTCCTGTTCTAAATCATATCTCTTGTTCTAAATCATGTCTCCTCCTGTTCTAAATCATATCTCTTGTTCTAAATCATGTCTCCTCCTGTTCTACATCATGTCTCCACCTGTTCTAAATCATGTCTCCTCCTGTTCTAAATCATATCTCTTGTTCTAAATCATGTCTCCACCTGTTCGAAATTATGTCTCCTCCTGTTCTAAATCATGTTTCCTGCTCTAAATCATGTCTCCTCTTGTTCTAAATCATGTCACCACCACCTATTCTAAGTCATGTCTCCAGTTCGTTGAACTCCTGCTTTTCTAAATCATGTCTAGTGTCATGTCGCATGTCTAGTGCCTTTTCCTGTTGCTCTAACCTATCTATTATTCTGTTGCTCTAACATATTTGTCTCCTCCCGTTGCTGTAACTTACATCTTCTCCTGTTTTTGTAATCCATGTTTCTTGTTTTTGTTTCTAGTTCAGACTTTTCTGTTATTCTTTGATCACATTCTTCTGTTACTCATGTCCTTCTGTTCCTTCATCTCATGACCTTCTTTAACTCATGTCCTGTCCCTTCATTTCATGATCTTAAACTCATGTCTTTCTGTCCCTTCATTTCATGACCATCTTTTACTCAGGTCCTTCTGTTACTCTAATGCACGCCAGTCTGTTGCTTTTATTCATGTCATCTTTTATTCATGTCATCTTTTATTCATGTCATATTTTGTTCATGTCATCTTTTACACTAACTCAATTTTCTTCCTGTTACTCTTCCTGTTTACTTAACTCATGTCTCTTTCTCTTACTCTAATTCATGTCTCCTGTTACTCTTACTCACTTTTATAATGTATATTTACTGTCATTATATAACCCATTATATAACCCATTATATAACCCATTATATAACCCATGCTGTCAGTCATTAATCAGCACTTCCTGTCAGCTCACACTGTTTCTCTACGAGTCTGTGACTCTTGTTTTCTATCAGTTTGTAAGTTTTGTTTACTAGGAGTATCGAGTTTTTATTTCCCATCAGTGTATAACCTGTATTTCTCATCAACATATTACCAGGGTTTCCTGTCGGAATGTAACCAGTGTTCACCATCAGTATTTCTCATGTTCCCCAACGGTATATAAATCACGTTCACTAATCAGTATGTAGTTCATGTTCCTTGTCAGTTTATAAGTCACGTTTCTTCTCATGTATCCTGCCGTTATATGTTGATAATGGTATAAAATACTGACAAATTGATGATTTAGACATATGTGCTACAGTTGGGTATCTTTATTAATGAAACGTTTCGCCCACACAGTAGGCTTCTTCAGTCAAATACAGAGTCTGCAGTTGTAACAGTGAAATGAAGATGATGTAATCAGTCATCAACCTTGGGAGATAGTGTCTGAGTGGTCAGTCCCTCAGTCTGGAGAAGAGTTCAGCTTCATGGTCTGGAACGATAAATTGCTCCAGACTGAGGGACTGACCGCTTCAATACTATCACTCCAAGGTTGATGGACTGATTACATCATCTTCATTTCACTATTATACCTGCTGACTCTGTATTTGACTGAAGAAGTCTACTGTGTAGGCGAAACTTTTCAACAATAAAGATACCCAACTGTTGCACATATGTCTAAATCATCAACTTGTCACAATGTAATCATTTTCCTATCGATGCCACAGCTAGCTTCTTATTTTTCCATTTACCAAGTCTTATTTTCCTTACATGTCGAATCCGTGCACCCCGTGTGTGTGTTGTGCACCTCCTGTTTGTGCACAGGGTATCATGGAGATCATGGCGGTAACCAAGACTTCTCAGGAAGTGGAATCATGCGAAATCGCACGTCGCTGCCCCAACCTTGCTTCTACCACCCAGCGGGGCGCAGCTGCGCCTGTCCGGACCACTTCGACTCCGCCTGCTCAGAACGTAAGTGACTCCTCGTTCTCAACAAGGTGGGGTTACTTCGATGCTTGTTAAAGGCTCCTAAGTAGAGGCTTGCTTCACATGACCTTAAGGCAAGGAATAAACGCAATCGATAAGTCAAGAAAACAAGGATTAACGGAACGATGGCATTCGAAATAACGGAGGTAACTGGACTGTAATCTGACAAGTAGCACAGGTCTGGACATAAGTAGAAACAACTACTGTTATGTGAGTGCCGGAAAAAAAATCCTTAGCAATTCTCTCAAAAATTAATACACCTAGTTACCTTGAAAATGGTATAAAATACCGACAAGTTGATGATTAAGACACATGTGCAGCAGTTAGGTATCTTTATCGTTGAAACGTTTCGCCTACATAGTAGGCTTCTTCAGTCAAATACAGAGGCAGAAAGTGTAGTAGTGAAATGAAGATGATGTAATTAATCCATCAACCTTGGAGAAATAGTATTTGAGGTGGTCAGTCCCTCAGCCTGGAGAAGAGTTCAGCTTCATGGTCTGGAACAAGGTGGTCAGTCCCTCGTCTGGAGAAGAGTTCAGCTCCATGGTCTGGAACAAGGTGGTCAGTCCCTCGTCTGGAGAAGAGTTCAGCTCCATGGTCTGGAACAAGATAGTCAGTCCCTCAGCCTGGAGAAGAGTTCAGCTTCATGGTCTGGAACAAGGTGGTCAGTCCCTCAGCCTGGAGAAGAGTTCAGCTCCATGGTCTGGAACAAGGTGGTCAGTCCCTCGTCTGGAGAAGAGTTCAGCTCCATGGTCTGGAACAAGATAGTCAGTCCCTCAGCCTGGAGAAGAGTTCAGCTCCATGGTCTGGAATGATCTGAAGCTGGATCATGAGAATGGAGTCTTAAATACTGTCTTAGGTGAGGTAGACGATCTTTAAAACATTGTATGTGACGGTATCTTGGTACAGAGGGAATCTGCCACACTACACCGATTAACTACTAGTTATGAGTGAGAAGGGGTTCGATTCCAGATGGACCTGTCTGCTTACTTCTACTAGTGGATCCCGTCCCCTACAATGTCTTCCAGATCTTCCACCTCACCTTCGACAGTACTTAAGATTCCGTTCTCACGCTTCACATCCATATCGTTCCAGACCATGTAGCCGAACTCTTCTCCAGGCTGGGGGACTGACCACCTCAGAACTATTTCTCCAAGGTTGATGGACTGATTACATCATCTTTATTTAACTACCATACCTTCTGCCTCTGTGTTTGACTGAAGAAACCTATTATGTAAGCGAAACGTTTCAATAATAAAGATGCTGCACGTGTGTCTTGATCATCACCTAGTTACCTAACATTGGCAGTGATAAATGAGACAGGTGTGTAACATTTGAGTATATTTATTCTGGAAACGTTTCTCCACGCAGTGGCTTCTTCAGTCCAATGTAGAGAAAGGTGAAAGATGAGGAGGAGTTTGAGGTAATCAGTCCCTCAGCCTGTAGTCGATATGTACAGTTCATCAAGACTGAGGGACTGATTGCCTCAAACTCTTCTTTATCTTCCACCATTCTCTGCATTGGACTGAAGAAATCACTGGTTGGCGAAACGCTTCAAGAATAAAGATACCGCAGTGTCGCACAAGTGTCTCATTTATTAACATGTGGTTTTTGTAAACCATTTATTGCCACACAACAATGTTAATGTTGCAGATAAATGGGTTAGAGAACCGGCAAGTTGATGACTTAGACACATGTGCAACACTTGGGTATCTTTAATGTGGAAACATTTCACCACACAGTGGCTTCATCAGTCCTATACAAAGAAGAATTGTGAAGGTCAGGAGGAGTGTGAAGTAATCAGTCCCTCAGCCTGGAGTCAATGTAATCAGTCCATCAATCTTGAAGATTGATGGACTGATTAACATAATATTCGTTAGCGTTGCTAACGAGTATTATGCAGCCAGTCATGATTGATATCAGTTGACCTAACCCTAGTTCACCTTCACCTGCTGACACCTCATCGGAGTGTTCCAGGGTCTTCTCAGTTCACCTTCACCTGCTGATACCTCACTCGAGTGTTCCAGGGTCTTCTCAGTTCACCTTTACCTGCTGATACCTCACTCGCGTGTTCCAGGGTCTTCTCAGTTCACCTTCACCTGCTGATATCTCACTCGGTGTTCCAGGGTCTTCTCAGTTCACCTTCCCTGCTGATACCCACTCGCGTGTTCCAGGGTCTTCTAAGTTCACCTTCAACCTGCTGATACTCACTCGAGTGTTCCAGGGTCTTCTCAGTTCACCTTCACCTGCTGATACCTCACTCGCGTGTTCCAGGGTCTTCTCAGTTCACCTTCACCTGCTGATACCTCACTCGAGTGTTCCAGGGTCTTCTCAGTTCACCTTCACCTGCTGATACCTCACTCGAGTGTTCCAGGGTCTTCTCAGTTCACCTTTAAACCTGCTGATACCTCACTCGCGTGTTCCAGGTCTTCTCAGTTCACCTTCACCTGCTGATACCTCACTCGAGTGTTCCAGGGTCTTCTCAGTTCACCTTTACCTGCTGATACCTCACTCGCGTGTTCCAGGTCTTCTCAGTTCACCTTCACCTGCTGATACCTCACTCGAGTGTTCCAGGGTCTTCTCAGTTCACCTTTACCTGCTGATACCTCACTCGCGTGTTCCAGGGTCTTCTCAGTTCACCTTCACCTGCTGATACCTCACTCGAGTGTTCCAGGGTCTTCTCAGTTCACCTTTACCTGCTGATACCTCACTCGCGTGTTCCAGGGTCTTCTCAGTTCACCTTCACCTGCTGATACCTCACTCGAGTGTTCCAGGGTCTTCTTCAGTTCACCTTTACCTGCTGATACCTCACTCGCGTGTTCCAGGGTCTTCTCAGTTCACCTTCACCTGCTGATACCTCACTCGAGTGTTCCAGGGTCTTCTCAGTTCACCTTTACCTGCTGATACCTCACTCGCGTGTTCCAGGGTCTTCTCAGTTCACCTTCACCTGCTGATACCTCACTCGAGTGTTCCAGGGTCTTCTCAGTTCACCTTCGCCTGCTGATACCTCACTCGCGTGTTCCAGGGTCTTCTCAGTTCACCTTCACCTGCTGACACCTCACTCGAGTGTTCCAGGGTCTTCTCAGTTCACCTTCACCTGCTGACACCTCACTCAAGTGTTCCAGGGTCTTCTCAGTTCACCTTCACCTGCTGACACCTCACTCGAGTGTTCCAGGGTCTTCTCAGTTCACCTTCACCTGCTGATACCTCACTCGAGTGTTCCAGGGTCTTCTCAGTTCACCTTCACCTGCTGATACCTCACCCGAGTGTTCTAGGGTCTTCTCAGTTCACCTTCACCTGCTGATACCTCACTCGCGTGTTCCAGGGTCTTCTCAGTTCACCTTCACCTACTGATACCTCACTCGAGTGTTCCAGGGTCTTCTCAGTTCACCTTCACCTGCTGATACCTCACTCGCGTGTTCCAGGGTCTTCTCAGTTCACCTTCACCTGCTGATACCTCACTCGAGTGTTCCAGGGTCTTCTCAGTTCACCTTCACCTGCTAATACCTCACTCCGTGGTTCCAGGGTCTTCTCAGTTCACCTTCACCTGCTGATACCTCACTCGAGTGTTCCAGGGTCTTCTCAGTTCACCTTCACCTGCTAATACCTCACTCGAGTGTTCCAGGGTCTTCTCAGTTCACCTTCACCTGCTGATACCTCACTCGAGTGTTCCAGGGTCTTCTCAGTTCACCTTCACCTGCTGACACCTCACTCGAGTGTTCCAGGGTCTTCTCAGTTCACCTTCACCTGCTGATACCTCACTCGAGTGTTCTAGGGTCTTCTCAGTTCACCTTCACCTGCTGATACCTCACTCGAGTGTTCCAGGGTCTTCTCAGTTCACCTTCACCTGCTGATACCTCACTCGAGTGTCCAGGGTCTTCTCAGTTTCACCTTCACCTGCTGATACCTCACTCGAGTGTTCTAGGGTTTCTCAGTTAAACCTTCACCTGCTTGATACCTCACTCGAGTGTTCTAGGGTCTTCTCAGTTAAACCTTCACCTCCTGATACCTCACTCGAGTGTTTCCAGGGTCTTCTCAGTTCACCTTCACCTGCTGAAAACCTCACTCGCGTGTTCAGGGTCTTCTCAGTTCACCTTCACCTGCTGATACCTCACTCGCGTGTTCCAGGGTCTTCTCAGTTCACCTTCACCTCCTGATACCTCACTCGCGTGTTCCAGGGTCTTCTCAGTTCACCTTCACCTGCTGTTGCCTCACTCGAGTGTTCCAGGGTCTTCTCAGTTCACCTTCACCTGCTGATATCTCACTCGAGTGTTCCAGGGTCTTCTCAGCTCACCTTCACCTGCTGATACCTCACTCGAGTGTTCTAGGGTCTTCTCAGTTCACCTTCACCTGCTGATACCTCACTCGAGTGTTCCAGGGTCTTCTCAGTTCACCTTCACCTGCTGATACCTCACTCGAGTGTTCTAGGGTCTTCTCAGTTCACCTTCACCTACTGATACCTCACTCGAGTGTTCTAGGGTCTTCTCAGTTCACCTTCACCTGCTGATACCTCACTCGTGTGTTCCAGGGTCTTCTCACAGTGTGTAAACAGCTCCACAGTTGCTACTTGAAACAATAACACGATTACAAACAAACCAGGGAACGGTGTTTGAACCCGTGGCGAGTGAGTCCTGAAACACACTGACCCGTGAATTTCAGGACCCTCTACCCACGAGTTAGAAGTCCCACTCGTTTCTTGATACCTTAGGTACTGAATTTATAACTCGCTCGACATCTTGCTGCTTCTGTGTGTATCAGAGACAATTGATGGCTCGTCACACTCACTACCCAACATTACTACCCTGTTGACGACCAGTAGCTGCGCCTGGCGACGGGAGACTCACCAGCTAGGCCCATCTACCCATAGGCTGTGAAAAACTCAAATTTCCAAAAAATAAGCTGCACGCTAGACACGATCTTGGAGAACATTCTTAAACAAGAAGTTAATCCGAGTACATGTGAGAAGTGAGATAAGTACAACGGAGCTTCACCACTGGGTACACTTAGCCAGTCTCTGACGCTAACAACGTCGTTCACTGACTGTGTTTCACAACCACCCCAAGAGGTGCTGCAACACTGTCGTTATGGTGGCTCGTATGTACGACCGCTGCTAGTAGTGTTCTGTGCTACTGTTAGTGTTGCTGCTAGTAGTGTTCTATGTGCTACTGTTAGTGTTGGTGCTAGTAGTGTTCTTTGTGCTACTGTTAGTGTTGCTGCTAGTAGTGTTCTATGTGCTACTGTTAGTGTTGCTGCTAGTAGTGTTCTATGTGCTATTGTTAGTGTTGCTGCTAGTAGTGTTCTATGTGCTACTGTTAGTGTTGCTGCTAGTAGTGTTCTATGTGCTACTGTTAGTGTTGCTACTAGTAGTGTTCTATGTGCTACTGTTAGTGCTGCTGCTAGTAGTGTTCTATGTGCTTCTGTTAGTGTTGCTGCTAGTAGTGTTCTATGTGCTTCTGTTAGTGTTGCTGCTAGTAGTGTTCTATGTTCTTCTGTTAGTGCTGCTGCTAGTAGTGTTCTATGTGCTACTGTTAGTGTTGCTGCTAGTAGTGTTCTATGTGCTACTGTTAGAGTTGCTACTAGTAGTGTTCTATGTGCTACTGTTAGTGCTGCTGCTAGTAGTGTTCTATGTGCTTCTGTTAGTGTTGCTGCTAGTAGTATTCTATGTGCTTCTGTTAGTGTTGCTGCTAGTAGTGTTCTATGTGCTTCTGTTAGTGCTGCTGCTAGTAGTGTTCTATGTGCTTCTGTTAGTGTTGCTGCTAGTAGTGTTCTATGTGCTACTGTTAGTGCTGCTGCTAGTAGTGTTCTATGTGCTACTGTTAGTGTTACTGCTAGTAGTGTTGTATGTGCTACTGTTGGTGTGGCTGCTAGTAGTGTTGTATGTGCTACTGTTAGTGTTGCTACTAGTAGTGTTCTATGTGCTTCTGTTAGTGCTGCTGCTAGTAGTGTTCTGTGTGCTACTGTTAGTGTTGCTGCTAGTAGTGTTCTATGTGCTACTGTTAGTGCTGCTGCTAGAGTGTTCTGTGTTTCTACTGTTAGTATTGCTGCTAGTAGTGTTCTATGTGCTACTGTTAGTGTTGCTGCTATAGTGTGTTCTATGTGCTTCTGTTAGTGCTGCTGCTAGTAGTGTTCTGTGTGCTACTGTTAGTGTTGCTGCTAGTAGTGTTCTATGTGCTACTGTTAGTGCTGCTGCTAGTAGTGTTCTGTGTGCTACTGTTAGTGTTGCTGCTAGTAATGTTCTATGTGCTACTGTTAGTGTTGCTGCTAGTAGTGTTCTATGTGCTTCTGTTAGTGTTGCTGCTAGTAATGTTCTATGTGCTACTGTTAGTGCTGCTGCTAGTAATGCTCTATGGGCTACTGTTAGTGTTGCTGCTAGTAATGTTCTATGTGCTACTGTTAGTGTTGCTGCTAGTAATGTTCTATGTGCTACTGTTAGTGTTGCTGCTAGTAGTGTTCTATGTGCTTCTGTTAGTGCTGCTGATAGTAATGTTCTATGTGCTACTGTTAGTGCTGCTGATAGTAATGTTCTATGTGCTACTGTTAGTGCTGCTGCTAGTAATGTTCTATGTGCTACTGTTAGTGTTGCTGCTAGTAATGTTCTATGTGCTACTGTTAGTGTTGCTGCTAGTAATGTTCTATGTGCTACTGTTAGTGTTGCTTCTAGTAATGTTCTATGTGCTACTGTTAGTGTTGCTGCTAGTAGTGTTCTATGTGCTACTGTTAGTGTTGCTGTTAGTAGTGCTCGGAGAACCTCTCTTGATACTAGCTTTGCCTTAAATTATTTACCAGTAATTCTCCCGATGGCCTCGAATTTCGCAAGATGTCCAGATATTTTACTGAGATTCCCTCTGAGACATTCCTAGTTACCCATTACTGCAAAATACATTTATCCTTTATTTTCTTTATTGACACAAACTTGTCTGCTGTTGTTTTAGTTATCTCAAGACGCAAAAACAATTTGCCAGCTTCACGAATCTTGACACTGGAAGGGAGGCTTGTCTGCCTGCAGTGAGGTGAGGTGAGGTGACGTGAGGTGACGTGAGGTGAGGTTAGGTTAGGTTAGGTTAGGTTAGGTTAGGTTATGTGTGGTTAGGTTAGGTTACGTTAGGTTAGGTGTGGTTACGTTAGGTTAGGTGTGGTTAGGTTAGGTTTGGTTAGATGAGGTTAGGTGAGGTTAGGTTAAGTTAGGTTAGGTTAGTTTAGGTTAGGTTAGGTTAGGTTAGGTTAGGTTAGGTTAGGTTAGATGAGGTTAGGTGAGGTTAGGTTAAGTTAGGTTAGTTTAGGTTAGGTTAGGTGAGGTTTGTCAGGAAACAGGACATGTGTTTCCTTACGTGGGTCTTGGTCATATGATGACCCGTCATCTGACACTGATAGTCATATCATTTACGTAGTACATAAACAGAGGGAGCAGCCAGACACACTCCTGTGGGACTCCACATATTGTATCCATCAGGATCCCGATTTGGCTTTAATGGGCTGAAAAATATCTTTTGCTGTAATTAACAGTTTCTATACTGTTTGTATTTTTTAATAATATTCTATGGTTTATTTTATTACAGGCTGTTTTGCATACATAAAGTTATGTCTGTTGTATACACAAAGTTATGTCTGTTGTATACATAAATTATGTTAATCACATCCCTTGCTACACAAGTTCAATATTCAAAGACAACTAAATGTAATGCTTAAAAAGTTAATCACATCTTTTAGCTCTAATGAAGGTTCTCATATCTTCACATTTCCAGGACCATTCCTCAAGATACCTCTTGAGTCTGGGAGGAGTGATGAAAGCTCAAGAAAGCATTACGGTCACAAGAAGAACGGCGGAACGACTAGCGAGGACCCTCCTGGACTGATTCCCTTGTTGGCAGTGCTGGCGCTGGTGCTGGTGGTGTCAGTGCTGGCCATGATGGCTGTTGTTGCTTGGTGGAAGTACAAGAAACAGACCAAAATGGTGGAAGGGCCCAAAGGAGGAGCTTTAACCTACACTAATCCCACGTACAGCGCCTCCAACTCTGATGTCAACACGGACCGCAAACCCTTCACTTGGAGACGCTTACACCACGAGGCCAACCATCAGGTGATGTCGCGGATGTCAGCTGTACGGGAGAGAATAGATGATTTACAATTATCAGTTTTATGATCATGTGTATGTGTGTGTGTGTGTGTGTGTGTGTGTGTGTGTGTGTGGTGTGTGTGTGTGTGCGTGCACTCAATTATATGTTGTTAAAAGGGTCGAGTCACAGCTCTTGCCCCGCCTCTTCGCTGGTCGCTACTAGGTCCACTCTCTCTTGGCTCTAACAGCCTTGTCGTACCTATTGGAAAAGCTATCTTTAGATCCAGCCTCTGTTACTTCACTCTCCAGATTGTTTCACTTCCTGACAACCCTGTAACTGAAGAAATACTTCCTAACATTCCTCTGACTCATCTGAAGTTCAAACATCCAACTGGATCCCTTGTTCCTGTGTCCCATCAATTACACTCAGTATTGTATATGCTATTATCATGTCCCCCCTATCCCTCCTGTCCTCCAGTGTCATCAGGTTGCTTTCCCTTAACCTCTCCTCGTAGGACATACTCTTTAGTTCTTGGACCAGTCTTACCGTATTTCTTGACGTGTTTGACCAGTTGTGGGTTCCATACTGGTGCTGCATACTCCAATATGGGCTTTTAGGTTTGTCAGGCTCCCATATGCTGCAGCAGTTATTTGGTTGATGTGCGCCTCAGGTAATGTGCTCGGTATGATGCTCACCCCAAGATCCTTGTGCTTGAGTGAGTTTTGCAGCCTTTGACCCCTAGGCTGTACTCCCCCTGAGGTGTTCTTTGCCCTTTCCCAAGCCTCATAACTTTGCTCGTGCTGGGGGTTAAACTCCAGGAGCAAGGTGGTGGGCCAGGCTTCCAGTGTGTCCAGATCCTCTTGTAGTCCTGCCTGATCCTCGTACATTTGTATTCTCCTCATTAACTTCACGTCGTCTGCAAACAGGAACACCTCCGAATCTGTCCCTCCGTCATGTCATTCACAGATACCAGAAACAGCACTGGACTTAGGACTGACCCTTGTGGAACCCCACTCGACACATACGTGTGTGTCAGTACCTGTTTGTTAATAAAAATAATTCATGTTAAGCGCTAAACCCATGTAGGTCATTCAACGTAAGACGTGGTGGAGGCTCGACCATCCGTCTGCTGAGTGACGTGCGGACGTGCTTCTGTTCAGTACTCATCTGTATGTTGTCTTACCTGTTTGTAGTTACAGGAATTGAGCTCTGCACGTGCTGTGTACAGCTCTGCACATGCTGTGTACAGCTCTGCACATGCTGTGTACAGCTCTGCACATGCTGTGTAGAGCTCTGCACATGCTGTGTACAGCTCTGCACATGCTGTGTAGAGCTCTGCACATGCTGTGTACAGCTCTGCACATGCTGTGTAGAGCTCTGCACATGCTGTGTACAGCTCTGCACATGCTGTGTAGAGCTCTGCACATGCTGTGTAGAGCTCTGCACATGCTGTGCGCAGCTCTGCACATGCTGTGTACAGCTCTGCACATGCTGTGTACAGCTCTGCACATGCTGTGTACAGCTCTGCACATGCTGTGTACAGCTCTGCACATGCTGTGTACAGCTCTGCACATGCTGTGTAGAGCTCTGCACATGCTGTGTACAGCTCTGCACATGCTGTGTAGAGCTCTGCACATGCTGTGTACAGCTCTGCACATGCTGTGTACAGCTCTGCACATGCTGTGTACAGCTCTGCACATGCTGTGTACAGCTCTGCACATGCTGTGTACAGCTCTGCACATGCTGTGTACAGCTCTGCACATGCTGTGTACAGCTCTGCACATGCTGTGTACAGCTCTGCACATGCTGTGTACAGCTCTGCACATGCTGTGTACAGCTCTGCACACGCTGTATACAGCTCTGCACATGCTGTGTAGAGCTCTGCACATGCTGTATACAGCTCTGCACATGCTGTGTAGAGCTCTGCACATGCTGTGTACAGCTCTGCACATGCTGTGTACAGCTCTGCACATGCTGTGTACAGCTCTGCACATGCTGTGTACAGCTCTGCACATGCTGTGTACAGCTCTGCATTTATCATCAAGAATTTTATATCATATATTTATAAATGTTAATTAGTTTGTTTTATTTGTATTCTGTAATATTTCCGCCCCCCCCCTGTAGTTATGTATATAATAGGTAAAACTTGCGATTTTGGCTTAAATAGCAACGCTCTTCTTGCCGAATAAGGCAAGCAAAAATTTGTGTATGCAATAATTTCGCAAAAAATATTCTGAACCTTACGGAAAAAATATACTTCATTGTGTTTGTTTATTATTAAATTATTGTAAACTGGCCTACAATATATTTAGTTAGATTAGGCTAAATTAAATTATAATTAGGATAGGTAAGTTTTCTAAGGTTCTTTTGGTACAAAATTATTAATTTTTACATTAACATAAATTAAAAAAATATATCTTTAAACGTATAAAAGAATATTCTTGAAAGGATTTAATTTTAAATGAGTTCTTGCTATCTGACCAATTTTACCTATTCGGCACGATCCTACAAACAACATTAGCCTAACAAACTAGGTTTGTTTCATGTTGCGAGGACACTCGTGGCAATGGATGCTCATGGAAACAAGCCTAGTTTGCTAGGTTCATGTTGTTTGTAGGATCGATGGCTTAGATGGTACATGTATACTGTGTGGCCTCTTGAGGCTGGACAATATGTCGTGGGGTCGAATCCTGTCCTGCCGAAGTCGAATCGAATCGAATCGAGGACGACGAGAGCTGTCGTAAGATGGGAAGGAAGAAGGATAAGGAAGGATGGAAATAACTGGAGAAGGATGGGAAGGAGGGGAAGAGGAGGAATCAAGGCAAGTGGCCCAACCACTTTGGGACATGTGGTATTGAAGTACTAGAGGCGTAGATGGAGATGTATTTCAGAAATACTGACGAAGACGATGTAGAAGGCAACAGGAACTCAGCAGGTGCTGGCTGCATCTTGCTGGATGGATGATTAATGCAACTTGAATGATGATAGACGGCTGCAGGCGACATGGAAGGAACTCATCGTTGATTGGTCAGTTCATTGAGGTTTGGTGTTTACCTGGAGTCATGGCGTTGTTTTACGATTCAGTTCCGTTTTCAAGACGTTTAAAACGTTGTAGAGGGAGCAAATTTATACGTGTCAGCAAGTGTTTTTGGCTGGAATCTTCTGCTTCTAGTTGGTTTACAATGGCCTTTAGAATAGTAGAAAGTTCAATTGTACGAAGAGTTCCAACTGAGCAGGAAGAATCGATGGCAAACTTGACTTTCTTTTCGATGAGATGAGAATAAAGTTCATGAAGCAGCATGTCTTGATGATATTTTTCTGTAGTGTAGAAGTTGATTCCAGTCCATGAAGTATATTTTTTAGTATCTTCATCTTTATCATGTCGAGAGTCGTGAGATGATGATTTTTTTGCTTTTTTTTCTTTCTTGTTAGGTATTGTTGAAGGAGGAAGTGAATATTTGTTGTCAACTTCAGCAGACAAATAGGAAGATGTTTCTGGTGGCAAGGCTTCTGATTGGTCGGTTTCAATGAGGAGTGGTGGCGTTGAAGGCTTCTCATTGGACGTTGTTGGAGTGACGTCACTAGTTGTTGGTGGTGTTGGAGTGACGTCACTAGTTGTTGGTGGTGTTGGAGTGACGTCACTAGTTGTTGGTGGTGTTGGAGTGATGTCACTAGTTGTTGGTGGTGTTGGAGCTACTGTAGCTGAGGTGCTGATTAAGTCCTTGGTGAATTTTAGAATTTCTTCAGAAGGTGGAGATGCTGGAAATATGAATGATGGCATGTTATTTAATGCAAATAACTCGTTGATGGTAGAATTAAAGGATCCAGGTACAGCCATGTTCTGTATGTGAGCGTATAGTAAACAATAGTGGAACTTCGTTACGTCACATGTTGGAGGAGTGATGATGGTGGAGGCGGGCTGAGTAGATGCTTGAAGTAATTTTGTAGTGTCTGCTTGCAACTTTGCAATTCCTGCATACGTTGGTGTGTTGTTAGTAGGATTTTTCTTTGCTGCATCTTGTGTTTTCTTCATAATATCCTTTCTTGTAGGACATTTTGCTGCCAGAGTATGGTGATCATTACTTTTACAGTTTAAACACGCTGGTTGTGTTGGAGCAGCAGCGGTGCAGGAACTGAAGGTGTCCCTCACTACCACATGTAGTGCAGAACTTCTTGTCTTTTACTGGACATGCTTTGGTGGTGTGATGGTATGAATAACAGTTCCAGCAATGTTGGATGTAGTGGTATCTCTCTGCTTCTATGTAGGTGGGACTGATGTACTAGTAGTAGACAGCTAGACCTTCGTTCAGAGCAAATATATATACACACACACACACACACACACACACACACACACACAGGGTCTAGTAGCAACCGGTGAAGAGGCGGGGCCAGGAGCTAGGACTCGACCCCTGCAACCACAAATAGGTGAGTACAAATAGGTGAGTACACACACACACACACACGCACGCACGCATATACTACAGGCCTAGTGTCTAATCGACATGCCTAGGACAAAATGGTAACTAACACACACACACTCACACACACACACACACACACCCACCACACACACACACACACACACACACACACACACACACACACACACACACACACACACACACACACACACAACAACACATTATATATATATATATTATATATATATATATATATATATATTTATTTATATATATATATAATATATTATATATATATATTGCAAAACAACCACTGTGAAAGAATAGTGAAATTCATTGTCAAGGAAGTAGTTCCTTGACAATGTGAGTAGTCACGAAAGCGCTTGGAATTTCACTATTCTTTCACAGTGGTTGTTTTGCATATTTTAAAATCACCTGTTTACTGTGATCTTATTGCAAATATTATATATATATATATATATATATATATATATATATATATATATATATATATATATATAGATAGATCGATAGACATATTATATTATAAATTCTTAAGAACAACTTGCATCCTGAGTCTTTTCAGGGCATTCGGTAGGACAGATAAATTTTCAATATATGGCAGGACAAGCACATTCTTGTTATGAGGGTCACTGTTGTATTTGCTCTGATACATACATAAGGCCTGACCGCATGCCTGTGCTTTACGTTCTGAAGGACTGACCATCTCATTTTTAGAAACTTTTCATATTGTTTCTCTGTGCGTCACGATGTGCTCCTGGTGTGTTCCAGGTTGTAAACAGGTTATTTGATAATCTCGTCCACAAGCGTTTTCGTGTTCTCTGAGCAGCAGCTTCAGGAGAAAGTTGTAAAGGCGTGATGGCTCTTGGACCCAGTTTTTAACTTTAATGTGATGTAAATGATTTCGAAAAACGTCGACTCCTGGCTGAGGGACTGACTACCTCAAACTCCTGCCCATCTTTCCACCGTTCTTCTCTGTCCTGGACTGAAGAAGCCACTTGCTTCATTTTTTAATATTCAGTGTGCTGAGCTGAATTGCCTTTATCGTACTGACGTTTCAGCTGTCTCGCTGTTTATCTCGTTCCAAGCCTTCCATCGCTCGTATGTTGAAGATATATTTGCGGACGTCTATATTTTGTTTGTGTGTTAAGTTCAGAGCACAACACTACCTGTTGCTCCACAGACTCTGCCACTCCCTACGAGCCCCGTGAGGGCGGGGAATGGGGCTAGGTTTTAGGGACAACTGTCTCAGAAGAAGAGGTACATGTGCCTCTTCCCATGGGAAGACATTTTGAATGTCAACGACACTTCCCCAATGGGAAGCCCCGGTCTAGATCTACCAACTGGTAGAGACCCGGGCAGGCCATACCGTCGAATCTCAAGAAGGTGGGAAGTTATCCTCTTAGAGGTCCCCAACCTGCTGCCCGTGGATCGCATGTGGCTCTTATATATAGTAAATGGATGCGGCCCTCACATGAAATTATAAATTCACTTTTGTGTAGGTTTCACATTGCATAGTGTCAACAAAACCGTGCAGCCCTCGTCACACATTTGACCATCACATGTGGCGGACTTGTTTAGGAAAGTTGAGGACCACTGCTACGGAGTCTGTATTATCCAGAATCCTGCCTACCAGCCTTCGTCTGCTTCAAATCCCTCGTCTGACACCAGTATACTTCTACTACTACTACTACTTCCACCGATAGCCTTACCTCTACCACTACTACTACAGCTACTACTTCCACTACCTGCCTTACTTCTACTACCACAACTACTACTCCCACTTCTCTTGTCTCGTCCCTGCCAGCCGGCCTATAAATACTCCCTCCTCTCCTTTCTGTCAGTGTGACTTTGTAAATGGTCCAAGTCGGACCGAAACGTCGTCGTAAGATTCTCTCTCAAATGTACGGGTTATTTGTATATGAGCGCCAATCTTCATGGCTGTGCTTCAGAGTCAAGACTACGGCGTTCTTCACCAACTCCAAGGCTGAGGGACTCATTACCTCATCTTTTGTATATTGTTTTACAGTTTTCCTATTATGTCCTTGAATTTGTATTGATAAAGCCACTGGATGGCGAAACATCTACAAATACTCAAGTTTTACACATTTGTCTAATTCTTCAACTATGTTATCAAGTTTTAGACAGTGGTCGTTCTTGTCGTTGTTCTGTTATTTCTTGTTCTTCGCGGTTTTTAGGCTTTAAGGCTTGAATGTGTAAGCATAGACATGTTTATTCTAATTGCGGATTAAAAGAAATTGTGGAGTTTAGGAGATAAATACAAATTGTGTAACATTAAATTCTTCTCCCTCAGGGTCGAATGTTTGAGGAGAAGGGCGAGGTGGCAGCACTGATCAGTGAAGGTAGCAGTGTTGAACACGAGAGTCCCCCACCCACGCCGCCCACACGCCCAGATCCAGTCACTTAACCATACCTTCGACTGGCCTGGTGTGTGCCAGGCTGCCCACACTTAACTACCTGATGCAACCCACATGAAACTCCCGGGGGAAATTTCCCAAACCACCACATCTCCTCTTCTTCCTCCTCCTCTTCATCTCCTGCAGCTCACCTGCCTGGCAAGAGATCCCACAGAGGTGACACCTGTCTCTCTCTTTAACACTCTACCCTCGCCTCGGCCACTACACTCACAGGAGAGAGGTAGACCCCTTCCTCACCACAACGCCCATCACTTGCACAAGCTACAAGTAGCCCCCATCACCTCTACGCCCATCACTGCACAAGCAAACCCTCCACACCCACGCCCATCACTGCACAATCACATATTCTAGAATTACTCCCCAGCACCCAGCTCATCCCATAGGCTACAAATTGCTCCCAAAACCCACTACCTCGCAAAGGCTACAGGTAGCCCCCCAGCACCCCACATAAGATATAGGTAGCCCTCAAAACAGTGCAGAGGCTACAAGTAGCCCCAGCACCTAGAATTTGCAGATAGGCTACAGGTATCATCAGCACTCACCACTTCTCGTTAATCAGATGTAGCTCCCAGCATCTACTACACCTCCAGCACCCGAAACAACACAGGCAATATGCAGACACCACAACCTACTACTCCCACATAGGCTACAGGTAGCCTTCAGCTTGAGGCAGGCCCTTCCACCTTACATAAACTACAGGTAGCAATAAGAGCCCCAAACTTATCACACAAGCTCTACGTAGCCCCCAAAAAACACAAGCTACAAATAGCCCAAAGCACTCTCCACCCAACATAAACTGTAGGTAGCCCTCTGTACCCAAAACCCTGCACAGGCTACATGTAGCCCACGATACACATCACCCCAACGCAGGTTACATCTAGCCCAAACAAAGCACCATACAGGCTATTAGTAGACCCCCTTAACAGAGCTTCACACCCCCTTTCAAGAAGCCTAGAAACCAGCCCCCCCTCTCACACAGGCTACAGGTAGCCCCCCTAGCACCCAACACCCTACATAAGTAGCCACCAGTACCCAGAAACAGTCCCAGGTGGCCTCCAATACCTCACAAAAGTAGCCCCCAGGAACAACCACCTCGCACAGGCTACAGGTAGCCCCAAGCACCTTACACAGGCTACTTTAAATCACAGAGCCCACACTTGCTACAGAAAGCCCCGTGCACCTTCGGTATAGGCTACAGGTAGTCCCAGCACTCCTTATAGGTAGTCCCTAGTTTTAAAAATTCCAAGTAGGCTACAAGTAGCTCCAAAGACTACCACCCACTTTATACAGGCTACAGGTAGCCTCTAGCACCAGTCACCTCAATACAGACTATTGTTGCCCCAGACTACCATTCCATGAAGGCTACAGGTAGTCTTCACTGATCTGTTGCTGAACTACACACGCTATAAATAGCCCCAGCACCATATAGAAGCTATAGGTATACCCAGCACCATTACCATATAGAAGCAGTAGGTAGCCCCAAGACACCACCCTCACCCTCCTTCATAAGTAGCCTCCAACATTTACTACTCTATATAGGCTTCAGGTACCGCCTATCACTCACCATTCCATGCGGGCTACATATAGCCCCCTCAACATTCCCATATTTCCCCTTTAAAGTAGCCCCAGCATTCATTATCCTATACACACCACCAGTAGCCTCTAGCAACCTTCTCCTCTCCTCCTCCTCCTCCTCCCTTCCTTCCCGTCCAGACAGGTTACAGATAGCCCGTAGCATTTCCCCTCATGTACCCTATACAGGCTATAGGCAGCTCCAAGCATATTCCATAAAATGCATGGCTACAAGTAGCCTGCAGTACCCTTCTCCCATATACGTAGCCCAAAGCTCCCTCCACATAGGTAACCTCCCCTGCTTTCACCCCACCACACAGGCTACAGGTAGCCCCCAGCACTCTCTACCCCCCTTAGACAGACTACAAGAAACTCCCTACACCCGTTACCCCTACACAGGCTACAGGTAGCCCAGTTCTCACTACCCCACATAGGCTACAGGAAAAGCACCCCTCATCATCCCACATATTAATATCACAGTTTTCATCACTGAAGAGGGTGCTGGTAGTCCCCAGAAATAGCAAGACAGGCTACAGGTAGCCTTAAGCAATCCACTACCCTTTGACAGTTAATAGGTAGCCCCGGAATCCACCTCCCCACACTGGCTACAGGTAGCCCCTAGCACTTATTACCCTGCATAGGCTATAGATAGCATCCAGCACCCTACTCAGGTCTCAGGCAGCTCCTGGCCCTCATTATCCCAGCCACTCAAACTGGCTACTGGTAGCCTCCATCACCCACCACTCCACGCAGGCTACAGGTAGTCCTTGGCACTCGGCACCTCTTACCGCCTTCAGCACCCACCATCTACACAGGCTACAAGTAGCCCCCCACCATCCTACACAGCCTACAAGTAGCCCTTAGCACCATCCATCCCACACAGGTTACAAGTAGCCCCAGCACCAGCCACCCCACACAGGCTACAAGTAGCCCCAGCACCAACCATCCCACACAGGTTACAAGTAGCCCCAGCTGCAACCATCCCACACAGGTTACAAGTAGCCCCAGCACTAACCATTCCACACAGGTTACAAGTAGCCTCAGCACCAACCATCCCACACAGGTTACAAGTAGCCCCAGCACCAACCATCCCACACAGGCTTCAAGTAGCCCCAGCACCAGCCATCCCACACAGGCTTCAAGTAGCCCCCAGCACCAGCCATCCCACACAAGCTACAAGTAGCCCCCAGCACCCATCAACTTGGAGCCCTCAAACATACAACAGTAAGCTTCTTCCCCAACCCCCATGACTATGTTTCCTGCTACAAACGGACCTTATGGGTGTTTCTGCGGCCGCTGCTGCGCGCCGCTGGTGGCCCGTTAAAGAACAGAATTACATTGCCATCAGCGAAGACAATTTCTCATCTCTACTAAATATCTGAGCTTCTGGTTAATATGAGCAGCAATAATGCTTACCACGGCTCCACACAGCCTTGTCTGCTGCACAAACCAGCCTTTGTCTACCACTCTCTGAACCATTCCTGCAATTTCCATTCCCCTAGCAGTTTGACCTGATCCGGCGCCTTCTACGACCTTTCCAGGTACAGTGCTCCGATATGGAACGAGGGTGACCAAAGTAAGCTTGCAGCTGCTCAGTAGTAAGATATTTTGTAAGTTTGAGATTTTGACCACCACCGGTGATATTGTCTAGTATTCAGTATCTTTAATATATTTAATATAAATCTCTTTACAACAGCAGGCGAAAATTTTGATTGATGATGCACTCTGAATGTTAAATGAGTTAGCGATGAATGAAGGAGATAGCTTTAAGACGTAGGGAATCGATGTAAAAATCTCAGCAATATCCACCAAAGACCATCATCATAACTGCTCTAGAGACCCCCCAAGACTCTTAACCAAGATAATCAGCGCTGAACGGTCAAGCTTTCAATACTTAGCACACACAAGCTTTTACAATCTTCGTAGCGTCCAAATTTAACTCTTCAACACTTCGAAGTATTATGAGCTTTGTCTTTGTTAACCTGCTGGCGAGAGCTCGGCTAGTGACGATGACAATATATGTGTAACCTGCTGCGGCAGACTGCACTACAGGTCCTCCAGGACCTGTAGTGCAGTCTTTAAGGACTTTTAAGGGCCTGTAGCACAGTCTTTAAGGACCATAGTGGACCTGTAGTACTGTCTTTAAGGACTTTCGAGGACCTGTAGTACTGTCTTTAAGAGTAGTGTAAGAGAAGGCAGTGTCAGCAGTGTCAGCAGTGTACGAAGTGTCAGCTCTCAGCTCACATCTTTAAGGTAACATGACAATCAATGAAAAACAATATTAAGAAAACTTCTCGGATGCTCCTTCCTAAAGTATATCTGAGATAATTGTTTATTTTGGAACTTAACTGTGATGGAACAACATGGCTGGGGAGAATAACTGTGATGGAACAACATGGCTGGGGAGAATAACTGTGATGGAACAACATGGCTGGGGAGAATAACTGTGATGGAACAACATGGCTGGGGAGAATAACTGTGATGGAACAACATGGCTGGGGAGAATAACTGTGATGGAACAACATGGCTGGGGAGAATAACTGTGACGGAACAACATGGCTGGGGAGAATAACTGTGATGGAACAACATGGCTGGGGAGAATGTGATGGAACAACATGGCTGGGGAGAATAAATGTGACGGAACAACATGGCTGGGGAGAATAACTGTGATGGAACAACATGGCTGGGGAGAATAACTGTGATGGAACAACATGGCTGGGGAGAATAACTGTGATGGAACAACATGGCTGGGGAGAATAACTGTGATGGAACAACATGGCTGGGAGAATAACTGTGATGGAACAACATGGCTGGGAGAATAATGTGACGGAACAACATGGCTGGGGAGAATAACTGTGATGGAACAACATGGCTGGGAGAATACTGTGATGGAACAACATGGCTGGGGAGAATAATGTGAGGGAACAACATGGCTGGGGAGAATAACTGTGATGGAACAACATGGCTGGGGAGATAACTGTGATGGAACAACATGGCTGGGGAGAATAACTGTGATGGAACAACATGGCTGGGAGAATAACTGTGATGGAACAACATGGCTGGGGAGAATAACTGTGATGGAACAACATGGCTGGGGAGAATAACTGTGAGGGAACAACATGGCTGGGGAGAATAACTGTGATGGAACAACATGGCTGGAGAGAATCTGTGATGGAACAACATGGCTGGGGAGAATAACTGTGAGGGAACAACATGGCTGGGGAGAATAACTGTGATGGAACAACATGGCTGGGGAGAATAACTGTGATGGAACAACATGGCTGGGGAGAATAACTGTGATGGAACAACATGGCTGGGGAGAATAACTGTGATGGAACAACATGGCTGGGGATGAATTAACTGTGATGGAACAAACATGCTGGGGTTTAAAACTTTGAACAACATGGCTGGGGAGATTAACTTGTGATTGGAACAACATGGCTGGGAGATTACTGTGACGGGAACAACATGGCTGGGGACGAATACTGGATGGACAACATGGTCTGGGGACATGAATAACTGTGATGGAACACTGGCTGGGGAGAATAACTGTGATGGAACAACTGGTGGGGAATAAAAAGTCTTGGACAATAGGACCAATGCCGTAAATTGCGATCGTTTCTTGATTAAGTTTCCCACAAACAACAAAAGGCGTTATACAAACTATTTTTTATCTTTATCTCCAGAGTTTCTTGTTTATGTGCTGTAACTTTCCCCTGGTACCGGGGACACTGGTACCGGGGACACTGGTACCGGGGACACTGGTACCGGGGACACTGGTACCGGGGACACTGGTACCGGGGACACTGGTACCGGGGACACTGGTACCGGGGACACTGGTACCGGGGACACTGGTACCGGGGACATTGGTACGGGGGACACTGGTACCGGGGACACTGGTACCGGGGACACTGGTACCGGGGACACTAGTACCGGGGACACTGGTACCGGGGACATTGGTACGGGGGACACTGGTACCGGGGACACTGTCAACCGTGTTTCTTGTGTCGTGTCTGCATCGGATATTCCGTTTTGTAATTTCGCTCTGTGGTGCATTATGGTCACAGAAGTGGTTTTAACCAGTGGATATAAAACATTATCTCAATTACAGATTCAGTGGGTTAAATTTCATTTAGTGTAGGATAACACCTGGGAATCAAAACGATTACATCCCGAGTTAAATACACTGATTGGGTCTAAGGAATGAAGTATAGGAGACTTGAAGCTTGTGTCGATATTAAGGAAAATATGCTGTAGCTAAATATGTCTGGGGAAAATGCTCAGTATCCAGTCATAGGTTCCTGAAGCAACTGTAACCTGAATGATTTTCAGCCACCTAACACCTGATCATTCACTAGCTTGATGAAGTGTCTGAAGCGTCCTAGAGTCGCAGGTTCCATGGCACCTGAACATTCGTGTGGTCGTTAGGTACCTGACACTAGTAATCGTGTTGCTTGTTTCATATTCCAAAGTTTGTAGCTCAAACATGTTTAACGTTCTTTCGCTCTTGAGAACCCCGGCACGTGCGAGGTTGTAGGATCTTGAGAACCCCGGCACTTGCGAGGTCGTAGGATCTTGAGAACCCTGGCAGTTGCGAGGTCTTAGGATCTTGAGAACCCCGACACTTGCGAGGTCGTGGGATCTTGAGAACCCCGACACTTGCGAGGTCGTAGGATCTTGAGAACCCTGGCAGTTGCGAGGTCGTAGGATCTTGAGAACCCTGGCACTTGCGAGGTCGTAGGATCTTGAGAACCCTGGCACTTGCGAGGTCGTAGGATCTTGAGAACCCCGACACTTGCGAGGTCGTAGGATCTTGAGAACCCCGGCACTTGCGAGGTCGTAGGATCTTGAGAACCCCGACACTTGCGAGGTCGTAGGATCTTGAGAACCCTGGCAGTTGCGAGGTCGTAGGATCTTGAGAACCCTGGCAGTTGCGAGGTCGTAGGATCTTGAGAACCCTGGCACTTGCGAGGTCGTAGGATCTTGAGAACCCCGACACTTGCGAGGTCGTAGGATCTTGAGAACCCCGGCACTTGCGAGGTCGTATGATCTTGAGAACCCCGACACTTGCGAGGTCGTAGGATCTTGAGAACCCCGGCACTTGCGAGGTCGTAGGATCTTGAGAACCCCGGCACTCGCGAGGTCGCAGGATCTTGAGAACCCCGGCACGTGCGAGGTCGTAGGATCTTGAGAACCCCGGCACTTGCGAGGTCGTAGGATATTGTGAACCCCGGCACGTGCGAGGTCGTAGGATCTTGATATCTCCGGCACTTGCGAGGCCGTAGGATCTTGAGAACCCTGGCACTTGCGAGGTCGTAGGATCTTGAGAACCCTGGCACTTGCGAGGTCGTAGGATCTTGAGAACCCCGGCACTTGCGAGGTCGTATGATCTTGAGAACCCCGGCACTCGCGAGGTCGTAGGATCTTGAGAACCCCGGCACTTGCGAGGTCGTATGATCTTGAGAACCCCGGCACTCGCGAGGTCGTAGGATCTTGAGAACCCCGGCACGTGCGAGGTCGTAGGATCTTGAGAACCCTGGCACTTGCGAGGTCGTAGGATCTTGATATCTCCGGCAATTGCGACGTCGTAGGATCGTCAGCTACCGGAGAGTACTTCGGTTTATGGGCTACGCAGCGCCTCACCGTGACACCTGACTGACAACGTTCTGAACGACGATACGTTGACAAATGTTGAGAGAGAAGTGCCGCACCATTATAATAGAAGGAAACTGACGTAAACCAGGAACCTAACTCTCGCACACTCACACACTCACACACACACACACACACACACACACACACACTCACACACACACACACACGCGCGCGCGCG